AATATTGATTTGTGGTATTTACCAAGGCGCCAACGTTGCAACCGGCTGTAACACAAGGTCGAGGTTTTATGTGAGTTTAACGGTCATACCGGGCATGAATTCTCAGTACTTCCCATTTTGGGTACACCTCAGACACGAAGCAATAAACTTAGTCCTTTCCCGAAGGAGAAGTACTGCCTGGATTCAAAGAATACAAATCCCAACCAAAAGGTTAGGATTTGCGATAGATAACGGCTGATCCCAAACTTGAAGAGTTTAAGAAATCGTGTGGGGAACAATCCCACGGGAGTCTATTTCAGAAAGACAGTTTTAGGGAAGAAGCTGTTTGAGTGGAACTTCTTCCCAATCACTAATACAGACGACCCTGTATGCGTGGTCCGGTGGATTCTAACCATGAGAGTTTGAATTGGTGGAACTAAGGAGTGTAGCCTCTCTGAACATCCGCCATACAAAGAGTAATACAGTATCGAGAGGCTAGCAACCTTTTTTTTCCGTGAGGAAAGTATTTGTAAAATGGAAAACAATTTAACACCCACACGTCCGAGCAAACGAGTCTGTAAAATGTGGATTGACCAAGTCCAGTCCAGATATTGCGGTAATATCGCATTTTGGTATGATCTGACTCTTGTAACGACAAGGAGACAAGTAAATACTTTCTAGACAAGTCCAAGGAAATTACCATTTTCCCATCATCCTTAGTGGTCGTATATGCGAGTTCTACTTGAGATCTGGATTGAACTTGAATCCAAAAAGAAGGGTGGAATAATCCCTTGAGTTCATCTTGCACATTTACAAATCTACCATTCGGCCGTACATTGAATACTGTCGTCATATCTGGTCTGGTGCTCCTGCTATTCATCACAACGTTCTTGAGCAAATCCTAAGAAGGATCTGTAATGTAATCGATCCTGACTTGGCATCTCGATATCACCCACTTTCTCAATGACGTGGCGTGGCTTCCCTCTGTCTTTTCTACAGATATTTTTATGGCAACTGCAATAACGAGATTTTTCCCTGGTAAACCTACTATATGAATTTAAGCATGCTACTAGATTGGCATCTAGGTCCCATGTTGAAATAGCTAAATGCAACCACCACTTCTACTCCAACAGTTTATTTCCCCAAAATTCCCGCCTGCAGAACTCCCTTCCGTTTACTTGCTTCCCTGATAACTACAATCTTCAAAAATTTAAATGCAACGTCAATCGCCATCTTCTTGAATCCCCTTAATATTTTGTTCTTTCCTTGATCCTCCCTATACTTAGCGTTTTCTCTCACTTTCACTCCCTGTAACCTCCTGCATAATTTTCCGTATTGCTTGGATTAAAAAAAATCTATTTGACAGTGTTGGATTTTTGTTTTCCGAGGAAAAAAATTGTTAAAAATCTTCTCGTATCATAAAAGTACTGATTTGTTTATATAAGTCAGACAAAAACTGTATATAAAGAAACTGGCAAATGATGGAATTAGTGAAATTTTGAAAATCATATCTTATTTACTAGTGTTTTAAAATATGTAAAAAAACTTCTTCAACTCATAAGGATAAATATATGAAAGTACAAAAAAAAGCAAATAAACGTTTCAAAGGACAATTTGACATTTTACTTTTGTCATCAAAATAAAAAAAAAATTGATTGTCTTTGATGTTTCACCGAACGTGTATATTTTATATTCAATGTCTGTAGATTGGTCACATTCTAGATACAAAACTGAATAAATAATGTGATATATCTTACTAATTTATTTTTCTCAAGATTGATTGTATATTTATATTAACCCCTCTATCTTCCTGGAATTAGTTTTAAATAACACTTTCTTTTCCATATATTGTGACCATTTTAGTTAAAGTTCATATTTTCTTGATTCCAGAAATTTTCCGACATATTTCAGTGATATTTTTACTTTGCAATTTTATAGTTTATAATTTAGAGATATGGGAAAATATGACGTCAAGAGATCATGTTAAACATTCACCTCCTTTCTTATGATATGTATATTGGGGCTATTTTGCTTCTAGTTCGTATTTTACAACATATTTCAAGGAAATGTGTTAGTTTAGAAAATTATAGTTTACAATTATAATTTAGATATATGGAGAAAAAAAAAGAAGACGTCAGTTTAAACTAAAGACTTCTTTTTGTTTTCGACATATTGTGGCCATTTTATTTTAAAAAAATTCTTACTTTTAGATGGAAACTTGGGATTTTAAAACAACTTTCGGAGAAGCATACATATCATAAAATTATCCTATTACAATTGTGCTTGTCCTCACCTTCGACTGTTACATCCTGCAAGTACCTCAGAAATAATGGACTATTCCGTTTTGATCGTGTGGAAAGAGGGAAAAACACTACCTGGTTTCAGTGAGAAAATGAAAGAAAGAAAGGAAAATAGAAGTGGAGAAAGAGAGAGAGAGAGAGAGAGAGAGAGAGAGAGAATCCGATTAAGCTATAAGAACACTTTGATCTCGGCTAAAAGAAGCCATTGTCTTGCCGCCCAACTCTGGCAGGATGTGACGCAAGATCAGTAAGAGCCTGATAGCTTGTACTCGGGACAGGTGCAAAAATAGCCCAGCCCCAGCAAACGTTGGTTAAGCTGGCATCAATATTACTACAGATGTCATCTCTCTAGTTCAGTGACGGAAGTACTGCCGCTGGCAGCTGTTTTTTCTGAGATCGGGCAACTCTTAATATTATTTTCAGTGGGGCTCTGTTTGAAAACTGACACAACATAGAGATAAAACGTAGTTTATCCACCCTGAGGACAGATACTACATTTTGATCCCAGCCGAAAGGCCGAGAAATTATGGCGATGGTGATAAAAAATAATATTTTTCAGACGTACAGCATCGAACGTCGGAAATCGAGTAAGGCAATTGCCAAAAGTCATGTGTCCATAAATAAAATAACATCGTCTGGTGAATTATTTCAAAATTATTATTAAGAGAAATGTTACTAAGATGGCGATTTGACTATAAAGGAAGAAGGAAAAACAGACAGAAGAAAAGAAAGAAGGGGAGCAAAAATATTTAATGTCTCCTGCTAACATCTCATAACTAATGGACTATCCTATTATGATTTCGCTTGTCCTCTCCTTCGTTCGTTCGCACGACCGCTACGACCTGCCAGTACCTCATAAATAATGGATTATTCCGTTTTGATTCCGTAAAAGAACAAAAGACATATGCTACTTGGTTTCAGTGAGAAAATGGAAGAAAAAGAAAGAAAGAAAAGAAGATAGAAGTGTTTATCGGCAGTTTCAGTGAAATGGAAAAAAGTTGTTAATTTAAAATCTTTTCATTCGTGGCATTCATATTTATTATTATTATTATTATTATTATTATTATTATTATTATTATTGCAGTTTAAAGCTCAGACGGTTAACGATGTGATAAGGGTATGTTTATGGATATTTTATTGTAGAACTCGTCATGATCTTATTCAATCATTAACTGAAGAACTGAAATTCCTCAGAAAATTCAAATAGGTCAAGGGTCTTTCCGATAATTTATAATTTAGATATAAGCAAAAAATGACTCCATAAGGATATAATTTAAACGCACACCCCCTTTCTTACCATATATTGGGGCCATTTTGCTTCAAACTCTTAATTTTTAGATTTAAGATAAAAACTTGAAATTTCTAACATATTTCAGTTAGTTTCACTTTCGACCATTTCATTTAATAAGTATATTTTAGGTATATGAAAAAAAGGTATCAATTTAAACATACCTTAGTGGTATACAGCTCCACAGTGTTTAGCCTCTAGCAACATGGTTGAAAGATTTTCCGTTATATAGTTGTTTTTTCCAATTTAAACGCACACCCCCTTTCTTACCATATATTGGGGCCATTTTGCTTCAAACTCTTAATTTTTAGATTTAAGATAAAAACTTGAAATTTCTAACATATTTCAATTAGTTTCACTTTCGACCATTTCATTTAATAAGTATATTTTAGATATCTGAACAAAAGCTATCAATTTAAACATACCTTAGTGGTATACAGCTCCACAGTGTTTAGCCTCTAGCAACATGGTTGAAAGATTTTCCGTTATATAGTTGTTTTTTCCAATAACATCTTATTTTTAACAATGATCTTTCTTTTCATTATATGACTGAAGGGAAAGAACTTTTGTCTAAATCAAATCAAGTAATTTTCTACGATTATATAAAGCAAGGAACGTTATCAATTAAATATATATTTCCTTGACAATAATATTTATTTTATGTGAATGTTGGTCACTATGAAACACGTTATCGTCTGATAAATTTTCTTGATATGAATTTGATAAAATGAGTTAACTTGATATATTGCGCAAAAGAAGAAAAATGCAATTGAAATTACGAGCCGTTTTTTTTTCTCCAAAGACAAACAAAAAAGCGTCACGTGAACATTATGAGATGTGAGTCATGATGTGATGGCACAAAACTCTTTCATGTTTACACAACATTAAATATCGATAAAAAAATTTTAAAATATAACATTTACAAATAAATTTGTACAAAAAGGATATTATCCTTCATGGAATGTTTGCAATAAATAAATTATATATTAAGTATATATCTTAGTGTTATGTACGATAATCTAGGGATGTGATGGTAGCGTAATTAGTTTCGACACAGAAAGTGGAATCAGTGAACCGAGTTCAAATCTCTGCCTAGTCGATTGTGTTCACTTTCGCACTAGTCTGCTCGGGAAAGAAACGAACTTCTTTTAAACTTTCAGGTATGGGTTAAATAGCAGAGAAGGCTGGATTCTCTAGCCTTTGATAGTAAACGGTCTAAGAGAATGGAAACTCTGAATCCAATACGGTGGAGAATGCAAAGGGAAAACACTCCATTATCTTACCCAAAAAGTCATAGCGATTCACAGATAATACAGAAACGCAATCGGTGGAGATTCATGTTTTTCTGAAGGGACATGGCAGTAAAAAATAACCCTAAAAAACAACAACTGATAATCTAGAGTTAGTAACGATAACATGACAGTGTTAAAAAGTTACGAACTGATTTGTATGAAATCAGGCGATTCGCTGTCTGCTACCTCAGCGTTTGTTTGGGACATAAGCGGAAGCATTCTCTCTGGATTCTGTTCGCTTAGGTTTCGATCTGTAGCTAGAGGAAAAAATGTCGGCGTAGCATGCGCAGACACAGAGGCCTGCGTAAGAGAAGTCAGACACTGTGGATTCTGTAAATGAGTCTGACTGGAGTCCGCGATGAGAGGAGTTTGATTATTCACATTAGCGCATGCGTTGTCTGGTAAAATGAAAAGATCATACGCGGGTTTCCGGTTCTGTCGACAGCAGCACTGAACGGTTCGATAAAGAGAACAACCGCACTCTTTGAATAGGCTGTAGCCGCATTTAAAGACAACAGCGAGGGCCGTCACCGCGGTAACTAAGAGGATGACACTAATAACAATGGGAAGAACCGGAACTAAAGTCCCTTTAGCATTGTTCTCTTGTTCTCCTGTCGGAAGACGTGTCACGATACCGATACAATTCGAACCCAGACCAAGAGGGTCTTTGGAGTTAGTAGCACACTTGGCTACGATGTCAGTGCGGGCGCAGAAATGGTAGAAGACGCCTGATGTAAGGTCGGAAATTTCGTATGTGAGGTTGGTAATTTCGGGGATTTTATAGCAGGACGTGTCGCTGTCGTTGCTCCAGTATTGTAAGGTGTATTTCAGGTATTTCTCTTCTTGCCATTGCGATGTGTTCGTCTTCTGAACGCTGACCCGGAGTTCGACGCTGAATTCCGTGATCCGTCGTGGGGACAAGATAAGAAGAGATTCACATCGAGGTCCAATCCAACGATCGTGGCAGGTACACTCGGCATGTTTCGTTTCGTTGCCATCTCGCTCGGATACAATTGTCATACACTGGCCGTCATTTTCACACCGGAAACTCTCACACGGGTCATCGACATTTTCCGTTCCTTCATAATCAATATTACTACTGTTGTTTATTGAAACAGCAACTGAAATAAAAGAAAATAATTATATTAAATGTTAGTATTGAAATATTATACAACGTAAAAAATTCATTAAAAGTTATTACATAAGTTTTCAGACTAACGATGGAAAATGACAAAACAACAAAAAGTATTTATTTAAATAAATGTTTGGTAGAGTTGTAAAATAGACACTCTGAATAGAAATATTTATTTTTCAAATTTGTCCATATATCTATAGACTGAATATTTCAGACTACGAATTGTTTTATTATCATGATTGTATATTTCAGCATACGGATTATTTTTTTTTATATTACTCTATCTTAAATATTTCAGACTACGAATTCTTTTATTATCATGATTGTATTTTTCAGCCTACAAATTTTATCATATTACTCTAGTTTAAATATTTCAGACTATGAATTCTTTTATTATCATGATTGTATATTTCAGCCTAAGAATCTTTTCATATTACTCTAGTTTAAATATTTCAGAGTACAAATTCTTTTATTATCATGATTGTATATTTCAGCCTAAGAATCTTTTCATATTACTCTAGTTTAAATATTTCAGACTACTAATTCTTTTATTATCATGATTGTATATTTCAGCCTACAATTTTTTTCATATTACTCTAGTTTAAATTTTTCAGACTACAAATTCTTTTATTATCATGATTGTATATTTCAGACTACCAATTCCTTTCATATTATTATGTTTGTATATTTCAGCCTACGAATTTTTTTATATTATTACATATTAAATATTCTAGACGACGATTTAGAAAGAAATTATAACCGTTTATAAGGATAAAATTTGTGATGGAAATTCATTGAAAATAGAACCACGACGAAAGCCAAAATAAAATTTTCTAATACCACGTGTTTTCATTTTTGAATATTTTGTTTTGTAATATCGTAATCTGGAATTCCTAATCGATAGGAATATCGTACACCTGGAGCACATAATCAATAATAATATATTTAATGGAGTTTTTAATCGCTAGTAATATCGTACATCTGGAGTGCTTCGTCGATAGTAATATAGGACATCTGGAGTGTTTAATCAATCTTAATATAGTAAGTCTGAAGTGCTTAATCGATAGTAATATTGTACATCTGGATTATTTAGTCGATAATAATATCGTAAATGAAGTTCTTAAGTGATAGTAATATCGTGCATCCGGAGTGATTAATCGATAGTAACCTATGAAGAAAGCATTACGAATTTCAAACATTCATTTTTTTTATTTTAAATTTTAAGAAATTATATGATATGAAAGATTTTCATTTGGCTTCAGTAGGGAGGATCAATATACAAGGAATTTATATAGTAAACAGGATCCTATTAATTTCATAAAATTTAATAACTTCTTTTTTCATATTCATGATTCGGAATGCTAAACTATATAAATATGTATTAAAAAATCTGAAAAAAAAACAACACTTTTTTGGTCGCAGTGCCTGTTGTATAACCCAACCAAATATTTTTCAGAATAGACAAAACATTATAGAGTGAATTTTTCAGATTTGGATCGTGTTAATTATTACATATCAAGATAATGTATTACTAATGAAGCTTCTTGACCAAACACGGACAGCTTAGGGAGAAGAAAAAGTACTTACCAAACATCAATTTATACCGTTTTCGAGTGAATTTCTTTCTAGGTGTTTAAGTTATACAACATTTCGGGTAGCACAAACACAATGTGAGGTAGCAATACACACACACACACACACACACACACACACATTACTTCAAACGTTATTTTTAGTGGCTACCCATTTATTTTAAACAGTTTTATTTCGGCTACGGGCCTGTGTACTCGAGAAAACTTGACAAAGAAAACGTGTCACTGGACAGGATTCGAACTGCGTTTCACTTTGTAAGAGGAACATCGTCTAATCCGTCGTGCTCTTACCGGTCGGCTCCAAAGGATTCACAATCAAGCAAAGTTCTATTTTGTTTTTAAAGCACATTCACTTATTCGGATTTTACTCGAAACAATGAAATTTCTAAAGAATAAATGGTTTTTGTTTTTTAATCCGACATAATTTTATTACCTAAAATTTTATTTTAATGGATAACCGTTTTTGAGTAGATAATCTATTTTAAAAAAAAGTATTTATTTCATCTACCAGCCTGTGTACTCGAGAAAACACACACACACACACACACACACACACACACACACACACACACACACACATATATATATATATATATATATATATATATATATTATTTATTTTAGGATATTAAAAAAAATTATATTAAAAATCGCTACACAATTACAATTATGTTTCAACAATACAAATGTGTCTCCTTGGGCGATGTAAAACTATTTGGGAGTGAACAATTATTTTAATTTCAAAAATCAGAATACTTCCTATTTTACCCCAAGAAAAAATAACTGAATTAAAAATAGGCTTGTGAGTTTTACCGTAATTAACCAATCGAATGGGAACTACGCTAAATTCAAATTCACCGAAAAAAAAACACTACTATATAGGTCATGACATGAATTTGTCTGCATATAAATCCTAAACAATTTCATTATGGACAGATACAAATGGTTACATTATTTCGTAAGATGAAGTAAGTCTGGCATTCAAAATTTTAACATGTTTTCTTTTAATAATTTTATAAATAAAATAATATTTAGCTCTACTCTGTATTGAGCCCCGCTTTAAATTAAAAGTTACGGACAGTGGAATTATACTCCTTTTATTCTCATTTTACCTGAATATATATATATATATATATATATATATATATATATATATATGTATATATATATGTATATATGTATATATATATATATATGTATATATATATGTATATATATATGTATATATGTATATATATATATATAGATATATATATATATATATATATATATATATATATATATATATATATATATATATATATATATATATATATATATATATTGGACGAGGGAATCTATTGATCAAGTAAAGAATGGAATTTTTATCGAACTGTTTTTAGAACTGTTCCATCGTTTTTAAAATCACTTTTGGATTTGCATTGTAACAGGAAAGACTTTCAAGCTTGTTGAAGATATAAGAACCATTGATCACTACGTATTCCAACATCAACGGAAGAGATTTCTTTAATTGTTTATAAAATTTTCATTCGACTTTTTGATATTTTTTTATTTTTGGAAATCATCTTCGAATACGTCTTAATAACATCGCCCACGTGACTACTACGTGATCATATTTAAACAGAACGCTGATCTGTATAAAATTTCAGTTATCTGTCTGAATTAGTTGGGCTCTTATGTCCATCGTCTTTTGTGTTAAATTGTTATAAGTTATAATGTTAATTATGTTTAAATGAAAATGTCCATGAAGATGGTCTTAAATAGACCGAAACGTCCGACGTCGACTTTATTTTAACATTAATAATGCATATTCAGAATTTTGTTTTTTTTTTTCAGTATTTTCTTTCATATATATATATATATATTTTATATATATATATGTATTTATATTTATATATATATATGTATATATATATATATGTATATATATATATATATATATATATATATGTATATATATATATATATATATATATATATATATATGTATATATATATATATATATATATATATATATATATATATATATATATATATATATATATATATATATATATATATATATATATATATATATATGTATATATATATATATATATATATATATGTATATATATATATATGCATATATGCATATATATACATATATATATATATACATACATATATACATACATACACATACATATACATATATATATGTACACATGTACATATATATATATATTATATACATACATACACATATATATATATACATATTATACATATACATATATATATATATACATATACATATATATACATATATATACATACATATATATATATATATATACATATATACACATACATATATATATATACATATATATATATATATATATATATATATACATATATATATATATATATATACATATATATATATATATATATATATATATATGTATATATATATATATATATATATATATATATATATATATGTATATATATATACATATATATGTATATATATATACTTAAAGACATTTTTGTGTTTAACATTCTTTTTATAGATACAAGTATTTTAGTAAATGCACTGTTTATAATAAACAGTATTAAATAACATTTACTGTCCTGAATGTCCGAGAAATTTTAATAGAAAATATTCGTCCTTTGACAGGATTCGAACCTGCATCTATACGGAACCATCATTTACCTTGACGTGCCTAACATCTTACATAAGTCATTTTGTTTCCATTTTCTCTAAAACTTCGTCGTTGCCCCCATGCTTGGTCTATGGTATTATCAGCATAGTTCCGTAGAACCACATGTCTGTTGCTTCAAGTCTCTTCTTCATCGATGAGGAGATTGTCCAACATTCACTGATATATAGGATGAGACATTGGGTTGACATAATCGGTGCAAAAGGAGGCACCAAAAGATACCAAGAAAAAGGGTTCACGTAGTTTTCAGTTTTGGAACTAAATAATATTTTTTAATAAATAAATAATTAAAATATATCCATTTTTGTTTGTTTTAATTATTAGGAAATTTTACTTTAAAAATTGGTGTTTGGATGCACCAATTTTTAAAAGCAGGATTGTTTTACGTTTTTTTTCCACAGTAACAGTCATCATGCTGGTGGGGGTCACAAACATTTAAGCGGTACTATATAGGCGCACTGGCATTGGAGGTTTCTCTTTGTGTGTTCGGGTCACTATCACGCTAAAACAATAAGCCTCACAAAACATTCGAACGTGACAAAAGTTATGTGAATTAAACAACCTTGGAGGTTATATGATGTCAATAGAGGTTGTCAAAAGCGCCACATTCGTGTTCTAGTTAAATGAAGAATTCGGTATGCACATTCCCGGGATGTCAATCATCGTAACAGACATGCCGTTT